TTTACAATTACACTGACTGAAATGATTTCCCAAAGAAAGTAATTTTTTGGAGATAAAGTTGTTGCACCTCTGATGCACAAAAACGTTCAGCTTCTTTGAGCCTTCAGTTAAGAGGGTCATGAAAATATTGTCATGATATATCAAGGCAGCAGAATCACTCTGAATATTTCCTTGGATCTTAATTTGCATTAACTTTTCTGTCATTATAGTGAACATATTTGTGCAGTATTCTGTGCTGTGACAGTGTTCACAGGGGTCTCAGATTGAGGGATCTGACTCCATGTTTCAGAGGGCTTGATTTATGATATATATTACATTAAAACTATACTAAAAGAGTAGAAGAAAGGATCTCATCAGAAGGCTGGCTAAGAATAGAATAAGAAGGAATGATAACCAAGGTTTGTGGCTCGGGCTGTCAGTCCAAGCCATCTGGGCTGTGATTGGCCATTAATTACAAACATCCAACATGGGCCAATCAAAGATCCACCTGTTGCATTGCACAGCAGCAGATAATCAATGTTTACATTTTGTTCCTGAGATGTTTCAGCTTCTCAGGAGGAGAAATCCTAAAGGAAGAATTTTCCATAAAAGATGTCTGGGACACTGTGCAATAGCAGCCAGTGGAGCATGGGGCTGTATGAAGTGTGGTGTCTCTATCAACCCTGCTTAATTGCAGTAAATGCTGTAAAAGTAGAAAAATAGATCTAGTTTGGTTGTTACAGGGTGTTTCAATCACTGTCTCGCTGGTTAGTGTTTGCTTAATATTAGTGAACAAACATAGCCAAGTTGTAAATTCCAGTTTTGCCATGGTTATTTTGCTATTTGTAGGTCATGACATGTGTTTGGTGCAATAAAAAGGGACTTTTGGCAACAAGTGGGAATGATGGCACCATCAGAGTGTGGAATGTGACAAAGAAGCAATATTCACTGCAACAGACCTGTGTGCTCAACAAGCTGTAAGTTGATCCTTTACAACAGCCAGATATTTCATTTAAGCTATAATTGTGTAAAATTCTGCAGGATTGGCTGCTGTCATTATCTCCTGCTCTTAAAATTTCTCATTTGTTTTCTGTTGCATGCAAAATAAATAGCTTAAAATTTAGAACTAAATGTCAACCTGGTAAGAGTCTCTATAAAGAGATAATGTCAAGTGCTGTTTAAAAAAAATCCTTAATTAATTGATATAAGGAGACATAGGTAAAAAAATGGTATGGGACTGTCATGAAGCAGAAAAGGGAGTATCCCTCCACTGGGTTTCAGTGGACAGCTCCAGCATATAACATGATATTGCAAGTCATTGATTCAAGTGTGAAAAAGTAATTCTGACTCCTGAGACACAGGAGTATCTAAATGTAATTCTACGTGGGTATCTTGGAAGTACTTTTTTTGTCATTTGGGTGTGTCCAGAAAAGAATAAAGTAAAAGGAAAGATTAAAATCTAATTCTTTAGTGAAGAAAAGTTGAATTTGGAAGAATAATGGAGAAATTGTGAACTACTAGATTGTTTTGTGTCAATTTTTTAGTGGTTGGCTTAGTTCTTGTTTGCTTGCTGGTCTGAGATGTGGCCTTAAAAGAAACAACCAGAATGATATAACAGTATTATATCCTTCATTGTTCTGGTACTAAAAGCAGTAAAAAATGTGGCTGTTGTTATGATCTAAAGGGCAGTCAAAGGTATCTGTGGCCCTATTACAGTTAGGCAAAGCAGACTTTAAAAGGGAGTTTTAGCATAGTGTAACAGGAGGAAGAGTTTGAAGTAGAATTGATAGTAAGATGTACCTGTTTTATTTCTTGTCCATGCTATTGTTTCATTTCATGACTTCCCAGAAAATTTTGTCTTTGAAGATGTTGAATTTGACATTAAATTGGTAAAGGTAAAGAGTTTCCATTTGAAACCTAATTTGAAATTTCTGGGAAATAAGTAGTATTTCATTCTGCAATTTGAAGTGGTTTTAGAGGGAATGTACTACTGTGAGCAGAAAAACATTTTATGTAAATGTACTGCAATGGTGGGACTCGAGGTTCTAGCACAGATATTTTATGAGTTCTAGGTTTTCCTGTCTGCATATAGGAGATGCCCTCTTAATTTCATTCTTTTATTCTGTTACAGAGAGGGTGACTCTGAAGAAGGTCTGGGGTCACCCAGTGACCTTAGTTTATCTCTTGTCTGTTGGAGCATCAGTGGCAAGTACCTGGCTGGAGCTACAGAAAAGATGGTGAACATCTGGCAAGTCAATGGTATGTCCTGAGCTGCCTGTGGCTGCTTCCTGGTCCGGCATGGAAATATGGGGAGCTGCCAGGTCACTGCATGTTTGTTTACACCAGTGTTTAACTGTCCAGTTAAATGCCTACCATCTCCCATCTTGTGAACGTGTTTAATTTGAGAAAGGCGCTAACCCCAAGTGGATGTGTGATACACATCTTTGAGAGGAAGGCTTTTAATCCCTGTCGTTTGTAAACTTCATTCTGTTGCTTTGCACTTAGAAAAAACACCAGTCCTCACCTGTGCTAATAGATAGTCCCCAAGAAAACTATAAATTTACTGGGTACTGAAGAATTCAGCTTCCTTCCTTAGCAAAACCACCTAAATTGAATGATACATGAGAATCGTTGCCTAGATTTTGTGTCTGCATAGATTAGCAAACCATTGTTTTGTATTCTTGTAACTTAGGTGAATTTGTAGTGTGTCCCAGCTCTCAGTAAGATCTTTTTGATTTTTTTTCCCCATGGAAAAAGAAAACTTTCCCATGGGAAAGTATTATTGTTTTCCTTTCTTTATGAAAATGAAGTAGTTTTAACAGGCTTTTTGATCTCCTAGGAGGAAAAGGCTTATTGGATCTTCAGTCTCACTGGGTATCTGCTCTAGCCTGGCCAGAAGAAGGGCCAGCTGCAGCATGGACAGGAGATGCTCCAGAATTGTTGTTAATTGGGCGCATGGATGGCTCTCTGGCTCTTATTGAAGTTGTGGATATTTCAGCCATGCACAGGCTGGAACTGGAACACTGCTACAGAAAGGATGGTAAGAGACTGCATCAGTATTTGAAATTAAAATTGTGAACACATTCCCACTTTTTATTAAAGAAGTTTGTAATAATTTTTGGTTATTGTTCATGGGATATGATTTCTAGTTCATGGGAGGAGGAAAGTCTGTGGGATCGTTATCTGCACCCTGATTCCCCCACAGCAGAGGCAAACAGTGGGTACTAATCTGGTAAAATCCTTAAAATCCTGCCATTCCTTGCCCTTGTGGACAAACAGTAGTGATCCCCTGCAGTGTCTGCTCTGTCTGCAGATGGCCTGCAGAGTGTCATTGGAATTCCTCAATGATTGCATTTTTGCTTTATAGCTTCAGTCCCAAAGGACATCAAGTAGCAGATTTTTGGTAGTGTTGTGTGGTTTTGCATCTGGCTTCTTCAGGAAGCCTTACAGATATTTTTTGGCAGAATCAAGTGAAGCAATGTCTACTTGCTAGGGGAGGTAAGTTGTTTTCAGAGCATTTTTTAGAAGCCTGTCTCAGATACATGCATAAGATTCAGTCTACCCTTTTTCTTTTCCCTGGTATAGTTCTTTTCACTATACCAGGAATATAAATTATGTTTTTTCATGAAAAGAAGAATGAGAAAACTAGTGCAAAATAATCTCAATGACAGCTGTCATTAGTGACACTCAGTTTTATCTTTATCATATGAGTTCAGGAAAATTTTTGGACCAGAATATGTTAAGTGACCTTTGGTGGTGGTGGCCATTGTTATACACTTCATAGTTTAGAGAACTGCACTGCAAAAACCTCTTTGATTTAGGAGTGAGGCTCAGTTTAGTGTAATGAATGTTTGTGTTGTCTGTTCATGCAGTGTCTGTCACATGCCTGGCCTGGTTCAGTGAAGACAGACCATTTGCTGTTGGCTATTCAGATGGAAAATTGCTCCTGGGAACAAAGGAACCGACTGAGAAAGGAGGAGTCGTTCTCATTGATGCACATGAGGTAGAGCTGGTCTTTATTAAACTAACATAGGCTTTTTGTAGGTAAAAATTTTATTTGTAGGTAAAATCTGTTTACACTGTTCTCTCTATCTGAAAGCTATTTATAAAGACAGTGAATGCTATTTTAAAAATTCACTCCCATTTCTGATACACATATGAACATAATGTACTCTAAAGGAACAGTCTACCAAATGTAAAAAAAAGAAAAGGAAAGATAAACTTGATAACTTTGCTATCAGACACTGTGGGGTGTATGTACATACAGTGATGGAAGTGAATTAAACACACAGCTGTGCATTGACTGGATTTAAAAGACTAATTGTTTTACTTGGTAAGAGTACTCATAATAAATTTCAATTTTGATTATGTCACGTTTTTGTTTAGCTTCCTGTGCAAAGCAAAAGGTATTTTTCTAAATATGCCGTTGCAAAGGTTTAGAGCCTTTGCTTGGCCAGAATGTAATAATGAGTCATTAACAGTCCATTAATTATTTTTTAGGTTAAGAGCAGAATTCCTCAAATGCAGGTGTAGTAAGAGCATCCTGATTAGCTTCCAAGGGCTGCTCTGGTTGTGTGAAGCAGGGCAGTCCCACACTGTGGCAGTAAATCTGTACTTGCCTTCTTGCTATGGGCTGTCTTCTTTTCCTACCTCAGACTCAAAGCTGTTTCTGGGGAAAAATAACCAAGAAGGGTTTGCAGTAAAAAGAAAACATCTTTTTCTATGTTTCCTATTTAGTTTCTTTCAGCAAACTTTTTAAAGTCTTTTTAATTTGATAGTTCTGAATTGTGGCATTATGACTTTATAATTGCAACTCGCTATCTGTGATTTATATGAGAGGAAAATACTTTTGTTATTAGTAATTAAAGGTTAGTTACATTAGCTCTGAGAGTTAAATCTCCTCCTCATTACTGTCTTACTTCCTACCAAATTTTCATTTTTTTAAATCCAACAGGACACAGTTGTTAGTATGAAGTGGGATCCAACTGGAAAGATTCTGCTGACCTGTGCCAAAGAGGAGACAGTGAAGCTCTGGGGGTGCCTGGGAGGCTGCTGGAGGCGCCTGCACTCCCTGTCCCACCCAGCCCTGGTCAACGGCATTGCCTGGTGTGCCCTGCCAGGGAAAGGACCCAAGGCCCAGCTCCTGTTGGCTACGTGAGTCATTGCTTTGTTCTTGTTTCTGTAGCTCTTTTGCAGGAGCTTTCTACCAGTCTCTAGTGTCAGCAGCAAAGAAAAGGGTTTGTTTTTTAAAAAATAATATTCCTTCAGTAAGTTACTTGTCATGAGATGTACGAAATTCCAGAATTCAAATAAAAAGAGTGACCCAGCTGTTTTCTCCATGACTTGTGGATGCTAGACCTGCTTGGAATTTTTTTGCTTCATCCAAATTTTTTTTTTCTGAGAACATGTTGTTAATAGAAATGGAAAAGCTACAGCGTGTGAGGAATAGGAAAAATGCATTGACCCATTGGGAACAGGCCCTTCTACTTTAGATTGATTGATGCAATGTGGTTTTGTTAGGAAGGTCATGAAGACTACTGGTATATAAGTTAATATCAGACCCCTGATATTTTGTTAGTTAATATCTTTATTTTGTTTTTCTAATGTCACTCGACATGCTTCAGGGGATGCCACAATGGTTTGGTGTGTGTCTGGACTGTTCCCCAGGACATAATAATCACATTGCAGTCCAGCTCAGCTTGCTCAGAGGGATGGTGGGAACAAGAAACAAGTGCCAAGGTAAAAGGACAAAACTTGGTGTGTAAGAAATTCTCTTTGCTCTTTGTGAAGTTGAAAGAGGAGAAGAATATGAGTGAGTTACTTGAATCTCAAAGTTTCCTGAGAGAAGAAATTTGCTAAAAAAAGTTTACATTGCATTTGTGTATGTGTAGGCAGTTTCAGAACAGGAAATTGAAACATTTATTTAAGATTAAGGCTGAAGATTATATTTTGGTCTGTTTTCTTTCCTTTAAAAGTTGATCAGTTTATCCTAAAATTTAGTGAGAGTTCAAAGTTTTTTGTTGATAAAGAGTGAAGATTATTTTCACCTACATAAATTGTAATGTGGTCTTTGATGTTGATGGCATTATGTACAGGGAAGAAAGCTGATAATGTGATCAAGGTATCCATAAAAATATTGTCATGGGCCTGGGTGGTTTTAAATTATTTAGTGGAACTTTGCTGTGTGTGTGTATGATCAGTATTTATTGCTGAGTACAGACATGTCATGCTACTGCATTTCCTGGAAGCAGTGCAGTGTTCCACAGTGTGTGTTTGCTTGCAGGATGGGTACAGGAAGGCAGTGGAGGTGCAGTGTGTGTTCCAGCTGAGAGGACACATCACTCCTGTCCGCACTGTTGCTTTCAGTCCTGATGGGCTGGCCTTGGTCTCTGGGGGCCTTGGTGGCCTCATGAATATCTGGTCTTTACGGGTAAGATCATCTTTGTGTGCCCTGATTCTCATTCTTAGTAAGAGTATCTGAACTGGTCAAGGTACCAGACCTACCTCCACCTCACCACATGTTAGATACATTAGAGAAAGTGTGGTGTAAAATAGTGTTATAACATCATAAAGTATAAATTGAAATTGTACTTAGCATTGAAGTACTTTATAGTTCAGTATTGATTGATTCTGTAGAGTTGGTCATGTTAGTTAGGCTTTGCAGAACCAGCTGCTTTTGTTATAGTTAAGAACATATTCTCTTATGTTGAGGACTCTAAAGCGCTAGATAATGTGGATTATTAAACACTTTTAAATCCTTAGTTATATTAGCTCCTTAATATGATAAAAATAAGGGGTTTCTGCTTTTAGATTAAGCTGTTCAGTTTTTAATAATAATTGAAAGCTTGTGAGAGTATCATCCCTTAGGAATGTGTATGCACTTGAACAGAACTGTAGCACTCTTTGCACCTGATTGCAGCCCCTTTTCTCCCTAGGATGGTTCAGTGTTGCAGAGTGTGGTGATAGGGTCTGGAGCTATCCAGACTGCTGTGTGGATCCCTGAGGTTGGAGTTGCTGCCTGCTCTAACAGATCAAAGGTGAGACAGAAATGTTTGAGCCTGTGTGTTTTCTGGCCCCTATGGAAACCAATCAATGGAGCTGAATGATCCTGCTATGTGAATTTTTAACTTCTAATGTGACTGCTGTTGAACAGGACGTGTTGGTGGTGAACTGCACCTCGGAGTGGATCTCTTCCAACCACGTGCTGGCGACGTGCAGGACGGCGCTGAAGCAGCAGGGAGTTCTGGGCTTGAACATGGCGCCGTGCATGCGCGCCTTCCTGGAGCGCCTGCCCGTGATGCTGCAGGAGCAGTACGCCTATGAGAAGGTGGGAGAGGTGCCAGTGCTTGTCAGCATTCATGGCTGACAGGAGTTCACTCTTTAGATCTCAGCTGGTTTCAGTCTTTCACCAGAGAACCCAGATGACTTTCCTACATTCTATTTGAAATGTCTTTCACTATTCTCAAAACTAGTAGTCTCCTAATTTGAAAACATTTAAAATATTAGAAAAACTTTGTTTAAGCATTGGAGGAAGGTACTGTTCTATAGGGCTAGCTTTTAAGGACTTGTATTTTGAAGTGGTTGGTGTATGTTTCTAACTGGGTGTTCCTTTTCCTCCCTGCTGCCCTGCAGCCCCATGTGGTGTGTGGGGACCAGCTGGTTCACAGCCCCTACATGCAGTGCTTGGCATCCCTGGCCGTGGGGCTGCACCTGGACCGGCTGCTCTGCAACCCCCCCGTGCCCCCTCACCACCAGAGCTGCCTCCCCGACCCCTCTGCCTGGAACCCCACCGAGTGGGCCTGGCTCGAGTGCTTCTCCACCACCATAAAGGCTGCTGAAGCCCTGGCCAAGGGAGCTCAGTTCCCAGAGTCCTTCACTGTCCCAGACCTGGAGCCTGTTCCAGAGGATGAGCTTACTCTCCTGATGGTAAAAGTTGATATATTGTCTTAACAGCCAAGTGTGTTGTTACTGAGCACACACTATGATGCAGTGAAATCCCTGAACTGTAAACATTTATATTTAGTAATATAAGCACTAAATAAGCAGTTAAAAATAAGCAATAAGCTTATTTTTTAATTAACTGGTTAAAATATACAGTTAAGATTGCTCTGTCTGTGTGTGTGTGTAATGAGTGCTAGTCAGTTGCACATTAAAATACATAACAACCCAAAACTATGACAGTAATTTTCATGTGTGAAAGGAAGAAATGTAGAGCTTTGTAGTGCTATTTTAAGAGTAACATTTTGTGACATTGTTATGCTGAATTATTTTGCTAGTGTCAATTTTCTTCATGACTTGTTATGTAAACCAAACCAGAATTTATTAGGAATTTTTTATAAGCAAGCTTATAACATTTCAAGCCAGTGTTTGCAATTGAAAGTTCGAAACTCTCTATGCATCAGTAAGTAGAAAAAGATTACTTCATCATGAATTTAGTTTTTCTTTCATTGATTTGGATCACAAGTCGTGGATAAGTGTCATTGCTAGTCTGCATGCATTTTTGTTGAGAATAATTTAAATATTGTTCTTAGGAAAATATCTCTTGTATAACAAAAAAAGAGTGTGCATCTCTTGCACTGAACGTGGCAAATGTGGCTTTTGCTTTGTAGGATAACAGTAAATGGATCAATGGCATGGATGAACAGATCATGTCTTGGGCAACATCAAGGCCAGAGGTCAGTAAATTGTTCGTTTGGAGGGTTTGGGGTGCTTTGGAGGGGTTTTTATTCTTTTGAAATGTGGCAAGCTGTTGGAAGTGCACTTGTTCTAAAGGCTTCTTTCATGCTCTTCCCCAGGATTGGCACTTGGGAGGCAAATGTGACGTGTACCTGTGGGGAGCAGGGCGGCACGGGCAGCTGGCAGAGGCGGGCAGAAATGTCATGATCCCAGTGGCAGCACCTTCATTCTCCCAGGCCCAGCAGGTGATCACTTAGAACCAGTCATGATTTCATCCTTTGCCATCTGTTGTTTGTAAAGCTTGTCAAAATCCCTCTCTAAATGTCTTTTCAATTTGTTGTTTGAATTAACTCTAAATATCTCAAAACATGGGTTTCGCTAGAAAGGAAATCTTAAATTATTTAACAAATTCAAACCAAGAAGCCACTGAAATCTGACAACACAATTATTTTATGTGAACGTGATTTTAAAATACAACTTTCACATAATACATGTGACAGGCTTTCTGAAATAGCATTGGCTTGATGGAATATTGTCTTGATATATTTGCAAAGAAAACAAATTAAAAGGAAATGGTGTGCTGTAATGCAGGTATTGCAGCAATGCTGCATTTAGCATATACTTCATTAACATTCCTTCATGTCTTTCTAACCTAGGTGGTTTGTGGTCAGAATTGTACTTTTGTCATCCAAGCCAATGGCACAGTTTTGGCTTGTGGTGAAGGGAGCTATGGGCGACTGGGACAAGGAAATTCTGATGATCTTCATGTGCTAACTGTCATTTCAGCACTGCAAGGTAAAACTGTTGTATTTGAGAGGAATCCAGTGATGGAGCATAAATAAGCATTTTGGTAGTTAGTATAATTGCTTCTAACAAAACAATTCTGATGCTCTTCTGCAGATTTACTCATTAAAATATTCTAGTTTCTAATTTAAAATTTGAACAAATAAACAAGATCTTCATATTTCCTTAAGATTTAAATAGTATGTTAAAATTCTTTAATTTTAAGAAGGCTTCAGAGAAAATGGTCTGCTCAAATCAGGAACATTTCATTTCAGTACTGATGGCAGGACAGAAGCTTAAGTTCTCCATAAGAAAACAAAGATTTTATTTGAATTAAAAGTAATATAATTGCTATAAAAAGAAGCCTTAGTGCAGTTTGTTCCTTTCCCCAGACCTAACTGGCTGCCACAAAGCACCCGTGGATCAATCTATGTAAGAGTTTGCTCTAGGCGATGCTAAGCTTTGTTTCCTCACTTGTCTTTGCTAGGCTTTGTGGTGACACAGCTGGTGACCTCGTGTGGCTCTGATGGACATTCCATGGCTCTGACAGAAAGTGGGGAGGTGTTCAGCTGGGGAGATGGGGACTATGGCAAGCTGGGCCACGGCAACAGCGACAGGCAGCGCCGGCCCCGGCAGATCGAGGCTCTGCAGGGAGAAGAAGTCGTGCAGGTTTCAAAAATGTTTCTTTTTCCCTCCAGCTGCAGGCCTGGGAACCCAGTGCTGTAGAACTGCATGAAAACAGGCAACTTTTTAATTCTCTGGGCTTTATGAGCCAGGGTGGTTGTTTCCAGTTAAAGGATGTCAATACCACAGATATATTAATTGACAGTTGGTACTGGAGAGGACTAAAAATAGAGCATGGAAGAAAGGGGTGATTTAAAGATGATCAAAATGCTGACATGATCTATAAGTTTCCCTTCATCCTTATCAGGTGACTTTGACCCACAAAACTGGTCACCAAGACCTCCTCCTAAGTACTAACAATGCACATATTTGCTTTTGACAGGAGGTTTCTTTATAAAAAGATCAGATAATCACACAGCAAATTCTTCAAGCAGATATCCTTCAGTCCCCCTCCATAACATTGCCACTGAAGAGAGTTAAGAGATGAGTTGCTGGAGAAATCATTAGTACTAAAATGTCTGTATTTTAGCTCTTTTAAAAGGAATATGGTTTAGGGTCAATAAAGGTATTACATATGTACATGTAATAGTCAATATCAACTTCCAAGTATAAAATGAGTGTAAAAATAATGCTTATTTTACTTCTAGATGTCATGTGGCTTCAAGCACTCAGCTGTGGTGACAGCAGATGGCAAACTTTTTACCTTTGGAAATGGTGATTATGGTCGGTTGGGGCTTGGAAATACTTCAAATAAGAAACTTCCAGAAAGAGTGACGGCGCTGGAAGGTTACCAGATTGGCCAGGCATGGTTTATCTAAAATTAGCATTGTATATTAGTTTAAAGCTTGTGTTTTTAACATACTTAAGTGTTCAATTGTGGTTTTTAACCATGGCTTTTATTTTGATTATGATGGCAAAATTTGAGTATGCATGATTTTTTAAATACTTACTTTCCTGAGTCTTTTGATCATCTTTGTGCAAAACTGCCAATGTTTTTAACATTTCAAGATTTGGGCATTTTTACACATGAATTAATGAGATTTTTTTAATATATTTTTAAACAGGGAACATGTTTGCCATAATACCATCCATTGGTTCCATGAGCTGAGATAAAGCAAGTGTTGATAAAACACTGCTGTATTTTTTCAGTCCTAAGGGTCTGTAAGACGCTCTAATAAGCAGTGGAAGTTTTAGTGGTTTTACAAGGATAGTTCATTTTTAAAACACAGTTTTTCTTCTTAAAGGTAGCTGGTATGTTTGAGTTAGTAATCAGCAAAAGCAGTGCTAATAACATTTTATCTCTCACCCAGGTTGCCTGTGGCCTCAATCACACTGTGGCCGTGTCAACGGATGGCTCAATGGTTTGGGCTTTTGGAGATGGAGATTATGGTAAACTTGGTTTGGGAAATTCTACTGCCAAGTCTTCACCACAGGTTAGATTCCCAAGGAAATGGTTTTTTGCATAAACTTTCAGTGCTCTTAAAGATATTGCACAGCGTTGAGTGTGTGATTTGCAGATGTTATTCATTCCATGCTGTTGTTACACAATCTGGCACAAATAATTCTGATGATACATTATGCTGAGCCTGGTACCCTCCAGAATTTTGTGTACATCTTAGCAACTGTGACCCAGTAGCAGTATAAATAGTCAAAATCTGAGGATTATCTTAGAGAAGAGAGATTTCTTTTGGAAATTGGGGAGAAGGTTGTTTCCACACCCATCTACTTCTTCCCATGCCGCTCCCCCTCACTTCCAGGAAAAATAGATATTTTGAATCATTGTACATAGAATAAGGTGTTCATTCCATTGAAAAAAAAAAGTTTCTGTTTCCTGTACTAATTTCCAAGTGTTAATTAAAATAGTCCTACAATATTTGTGCTGCACAATGGGAATAAAAAAATTTTTTTGGAAGCAGGATTTACAGATTGAATTTTTGTTTGCTTTCTGTTTATAGCCCTGTAATACTATAGCTTGTTTTCCTTTTACTTTACCCTGTAGAAAGTGGATATTCTTTGTGGAATTGGAATAAAAAAAGTTGCCTGTGGAACTCAGTTCTCGGTTGCACTGACAAAAGATGGTCACGTGTATACTTTCGGCCAAGGTAAGACAAATTGCTCTTTTGACATTTCCATGTTTAGAAATAAACATGGAAATGTGTAAATTGCAGGTGAAAAGGAAGAATATTAAGACATGTTTCTAAGATTGATCTAATGCTACTTTTTAGAAACATGTTGCCCTAATGTAAATTTTGAAACTTGAACAATGCAATTTTAACATACACCTGAAATCCAGATTTGTAGCTTTGTCTAGTTTGATCTCAGAACACCTTTCATTTTGCTAATTTACTTTTTGAAGAGCATTTTCCTAGAACTTCATTGAATTTCACACATCCAAAACCATTGGGTTACATCAAAGTTTGCGTTGTCTAATTAAGCGCACATACTTCACATGTTTCACAGTCTGGGCAGGAGGATTTTCATGTGCACTGAATGAAACATGCATAAACTCCTCAAGTCAGTTAATTCATGTTAGTTATAAACTGGTGCACTGATATCTAGGGGCCTTGGTTTAGTAGAATTTGGTCTTGTTTCTGACTGACCGTGGATAAACAGCTTTAACAGTGTAAACAAGCACGGTAGGCAGCACTGGTTTGCAGGGAACACCCACACTCTGTCCCTAAAGGGTTCCCCCCGTGTCCCAGCCCCAGGGCTGTACAGATCTGCTGTCTGCCCCTCCCCTGCTTGTGCTGTACTGAAACTGCCCAGAGTGCTGCTTGCTCCTGGAGCCTGGTGCTTGCCCTTGCAGATCGCCTGATCGGGCTGCCCGAGGGCCGCGCCCGCAACCACAACCGGCCCCAGCAGGTGCCGCTGCTGGCCGGGGTCTTCATCGAGGACATCGCCGTGGGCGCCGAGCACACGCTGGCCCTGTCCTCCACGGGGGACGTCTACGCCTGGGGGAGCAACTCCGAGGGCCAGGTACGGCCTCTTCCCTGCTCCTGACCTCTGGGAGCCTCTTGCTGCCCTTCACAGCTGTGCTGGCCATGGCTTTCCTTCGGCTTTCCTTTGATTTTCCTTCCCTCCTTCACCCCTCAGCAATTTCTATTCTTGTTTACTCTCTCTGCTCTTCCATGGTACCAGTTTGGGAAAGCACTCCAAACATGCTACCTCAATTACTCTAATTCAAGCTTGCAGATTTTCTCTGAATTCTTAAGCTGTCATCTTTTCAACATAATAAAATTAATGGTTGATGTCAATCATATTTTTGAACTCTTTAGATACTTTCCATAATGAAAATATAAATGAACCTCTTCAAAGGAATGATTTTTTTGAAGTCAGAAAAAATGTGGTAAATGAGAAATTCACCTCCTTTACCACATACATTACTCATATTTTTCTACTGCATGCTACAAATTTTAGAAAGAGTCTCTGGATGTATTAGCTTCTGGTGTTTCAGGAAGTTTGGGCAGACTTCATCCTGTGGTTTCTAGGATTGAGTTTTTGAGAAGCCTTGTTGAGCAAGGTGTTTGGAATAATTTTTGAGGAACTTATTTGAGGTGTCTATTTTAAATTACTTTTATTAGGGTTTTTTTTAATATGGTACTTTGTATTTTTGGAAGAGAAAAAATAGTGTAAAAATGTAGAGAAATTCATTCTGAAAGCTGTTTCTATGATTTTCCTTGTGGTTCAAAATACTGGTTTTATATGAAGTGGGGAAAAAAATACACTTTTTTGATATGAAATTTTGAACTCACAGAATATGAAATTAGGATATGATGTGAAACTCGGCGAAAAGTTACAACAGCTTCAATAAATGTTTACATTTACTAAAAAAAACAACTGTGTTTTTGTAAACCAGGATTTACATTCTAGAACAAAAATGCTGTTTAAATAGCACAGGGGAGATGTAGGAGCTTTGCTGTCTATGTATGACAGACTGCAATACAGGACTTAACAGCAGGGATCAGATCCTCAGTGTGGGAAAGATTTTTTGAGAAGTCTCCAGCTGTTTTCAGGTCTCTTTGACACTTGGATCCGTTACCCTTGTTGGGTGCAGATGCAGTATTTTGTCAAAGATAAAAGGTGAATATATATATATATATATGGCAGATATTTTTTATTACAATATACGCTGTAAACAAATACGATTTTTTTTATCATCTTCTCTGAATTCTTGCTTGGAGAGTTGTAGCAATACTGCCAGTTGTTGATTGTTGCCTTTTGGCAGCTGGGGCTGGGCCACACCAACCACGTGCGGGAGCCCACGCTGGTGACGGTGCTGCAGGGCAAGAACGTGCGGCAG